TAAACAAAAGTTCATATCTTGGCTTACTTGCCTTATATAATATCTCATGAGATAAATAACTATTAAAGGGCATCCTACAACTATGGTATTACATTAAAAATGTAACCCTGAGAGTATAACATTCTTTAAATACATAAATACATGAAATCTTAATATAATTGATGATCACTTTAAATAACCTTATAGATGACGTGATAAGCAGTTATTACACATAAACCATTGCCTCACATATGGATTCTTAGGGTCTGGCTAACAGATGTTGTAGATCTAAACAATTGTGATTTTAGTACTAATATATCGGTGCTACTTTTTAAAACTTGGCTGTGGATTTCAGCACGTGTTCATGACGGATTTACAATATTTATTCTATCTAAAGTAACTTGAAATTGAATAAATATTTGAGCGTATCTGGTTCATATAAAGGACATTTGTTTAAGACTTCATGACACACTACAATACAAAATACAGATTAGGGTACAGCGCTCACAAGACTGCAGTTTTAATTTTATAAGGCTACCTAAAATCACCTATCTCACCAAACAAATAAGGGGATTCAGTCCCACTATGTGGCTGTATTTGTTAAGCCCACCATTATGCCACAGTACACTAATTGGGAGATAAATTAAATAATGTTAGTGCTAATTTAATTAAAGTGGATTACATGACACTTTTGAAAGAGCATTGTAAATAAATATAATGCAAAATTAATGTGATAAAAAACACAATAAAAAATACAATGTCAAACTAAACAATTAAAGTGATAGTGCTTTGATGTTTATACTTACAATGCATATCATATATCTGCGCTATATCAAATGAAATTTAATATTAAAAGTACATTGCTATTCAAAACCTCCTAAAACTTATACTTTATCACAGCACTGACAAAAAGGGTATTAATAACATTGTTGTTCTATTAAGTGTTGCAAGATCGATTCAGCCCTTGTATAAGAAAAAGAACACACAGACACTTAAGTAGAAGGTTGCAGTTTATTATAACAATAATATTTCACCAGTGAAAAGATATGATGTCTCACTGCAGTTTGAACAAATTCCTTCTTTTGTAGGTACTCCTTTGTTCATTTGGTATTGTATTCTTTAGTTTAATGTAAATACTAGGGTGGGAAGAAATTCTGCACACACAGAGTTTGAAATTGAAGTGACATTCCATAAATTATTATCTGTATATTTTCTGCAGTATGTGGTTTTCTTTGGTATGTGACCAATTGTACTTTTCACATTCCAGTTTCTTAGTCCCAATATTTCAAACAGATATTTTGTTCAACCACTAATTATTTTGCATGTTTGCTGTTTTAACATATTATTCTATGATTGTTCCAGCTTTTTTTAAAGTTTAACCCTTTAAAAAAAAAAAATACTCTTACGGAACAAGCATTTTTTTTTTTGTCTATCTTCTATATGCTTAACAGTAGGCTTGGAGAATAATTGTATTGGATTCTTGATTTCTCTAAATTTGGGACAATTGGTGATTCTGCCAAAAAAACAATATTCAAGCTTCCACATGTCCTAGTCCCATTTGCACTGGTATTTAGTGTTAACTATTTGTCCATTGGCAGATATATATTTAAAAATTAGTTCAAGGTAGATTTTCTGTTATCAGTTATATATAAAGCAAGCGGTACATTGTGTCCCCACTGGGGGTCTAATTAAATAATAGCATGGGGGTATACTGGCACCCCATGTCTACACCAATGGCAAAATGTACAGGAGAGACAGTATGCCTTCCCCTCCAGTCCACACTTAGGGGCAGCAGGTGGGGCTTCAATGTTGATAACAGAAGGGACCTATTACTACTGTCTATTTCCCATGCATATGCTTCCAGTTGGGGCTACAATATTGATAAATGTTGTACGTAATGTTCCCCAACCTTCACCAACGGGCAGCAGGTGGGAGCTCTAAGTAAACATTTTGAAGGGATATGATATTGTCCAAACTCCAAAACAAACTTCATTCACCCAATACCCCAGGTTCTGGGACACCTATCAACCCCCACCCCACATAACCTACCTATGATTCTCACCCTAATCATAGGGAGGGGGATAATAAAACTGTGACCTGTAAATAAATCATGTTGGTTTTTTTTTCTTCATTTTCTTTTCCTTATCCTTAAACATATCAGTCAGAGTGCTTGTAAGTCAACCAAACAGAGTTCTTTGACTGAGCATAAAAAGCATGGGGAAGACCTTCTAAGTGGTTTTTATTTTATTTATTGTCATTAAAATGGATTATTGAAATATGGATTTCAATCTGGATTTTTAGTTTGCCTTTTCTGGAGCATAAGAAAAAGAAAGGTGATGTGCTAGGTAGTTTTTTTTTTTACTTGGATGGTGGGTGGGTAGGTTTAGGTATGTGGCTAGGCTTGGTATGTTCCCTTGTACATTTTAAGAAATTGTTGGGGTATGGTATCCCTCCAGTATTATTATGTATTGGCTCACAGAATCTCTTCTGATGTCAGGCATGCAGGCAAGTCAGGGGCAGAGTAAGAACCTGCGGACTTGAGAGGTAAAACAGTAAAATTGAATAATATACAATACAATATAATACAGCACTAATAGAAAAGTGAATAAGTGAAAACAAGTCAAATAAGTACAAAGAGTCAAATAGTAGTAATCTCAGAATGGTAATCATTACAATAACATATATATTGGAAAATGTATGTGTGGGATAAAATTGTAATATTCTTGTAGTTGATAGAATCCAATACAAGCTCTTATGGGGAAGATCTCTTCTTAGTGGAAGTGTCTTGTCAAAGGAATACTCGAGTTCCATGGATATATATATATATATATATATATATATATATAAAATGAGAGCAGAGAAACTCCAATAGTGCAAAAAGTCTTTAACATAAAGTGCACAAATATTATAATTCCTATATACTCACATGGGGTAGAGCTTAAACCAGCCCTCTTCTCTATATAAGCGCTGTGGAATCTGTTGGCACTATATAAATGGCAATAATAATAATAATGTGAATACATATGCATTATAATATCTGTGCACTTTATTTTTAAGACTTTTTGCACTATTTGGGGTTTTCCTGTGTTAAAATTAAAACATTTACTGATGGATTCTATGCATGCACTACAAAAATATTACAACTTAATCCCACACATATATTTTAGCTCAGGTCCACCCTATTCTTTTTTTTCTTTTCCATTTTTAAAAAACATTTTTTTTAGGGATTCCCCCCTTAGGTGTGTTATTTTCTACCTCATTAGTCAGCGCTGCTCCAATTCTTTCTTATTTTTCCATGTTAAAGCATTACCTACTGCCTTTATTTAAAATAATTTTTCTATAAAAAATGTTTACTGCATTATAAAGAATGTGTTATAGCTATAGAATACACTATACCCTAACCATCTCCAAAGGGAACTATTTTTTCCTGCTATAAAACAATAGATAACTAAGCAGTCTTAGTGATAAACCAACTCTAATCTCAGTGCTAAGGTTTTCTTTGGCTGAAACAATTATAGCATACAAAAATCTGACAATGGAGATAATCAGTCTCTGAAGAGTTTAATGTATTCCGTATATGTGTGGTTATAAGCCAAAGTGACAGAACAGAACACTAGGCTAATACACAGGGCACCTGCCGTTACAAACACATAAAATGATGTTAAAATGTTCTAGCATCACTCTGTAAATGGTTGTTGTAGCTATTTCATCAAGTTTAAATTTAATTGCCTTAGCCTTTGTCGCAGAATATTCTTTTTGCTGATACGAAAGTCAGGAACTATTTTCCATTTTGTATATTTTTATTTTATATTGCAGTGCTGTAACTTTTTTTCTTTCATTTTGTAAAATATAAAAACACATTTCTAAGTATCATTCTCTGCACAGACGAAAAGTGACAGGATATTACTATAAAAGACTAAAATTGAATTAAAACCATAGGTCTCAGTTTTTCTTAGAATAGGAAATTAAAATAAACAGTGAAAACATTGTGCTTTTTTGAACAATGTCTGCTTACATGCATGTTTTCTGTGGTCAGGAAGCTGTTAATTGTGGGCTTTATTCAAATGTTTTAATAATAGAGCCCTGTTGTCCACAAAAAGTAGGCTAAATTCATAATTTAGTATGTTGAATCCCCTTCTGATTTAAAGAAAGTGCAGGGATTTTTCTTAATTTTTATTTTAAAAAGCCATGCTCTTTAGAAATGAAGAATCTAAGAAGATAAGAGAACCAATGGAATTAATTAATGATTCCAAGTCTTGTGAAGATTGTTATAATAACTCTTTTGTTGCATATAAATAGAACATATTCAGAAAACTTTTGCCCTAGATATATCATTGAGCAAGTATTCCAATAATTTTCCACTATCTTATTATGCATTTTGTCCCATCTTTCATTTCCTGTCATGGAATAATGTACACTTTTAAAGCTATTTTGGTGAAAGGATAATGATTTTTACTATAATGGCATTCTTATAGGTTTTCAAATTATAGTTAATACTGGTGATTAGCAAAACAAAGCTAAAGATAGCATATAATTAATATACCAAATTTTAATATCAAACAATATATATTAAAAGTCAATATTTTTCAAATTAGTTTATGTGAGATTGTACATGTAAAGTACTAGTAAGCACACATTTATTGCTCCCTATATTTCTGATGTGATATTTTACATGTAATGTACTAGTAGCTATGTCTAATGTCATCACAGGGGGCCCTGTCACGCGTAAGGTGTTACCTGCCATAATGGACTTAAACATTTTGTATATGTGTGTGTTTGTATGTATGTGTCTGTATGTGTGTGTGTCACTGTATGTATGTGTCTGTGTATGTGTCTCTGTGTGTGTGTGTGTGTGTGTGTGTGTGTGTGTTTGTATGTATGTGTCTGTATGTGTGTGTCTCTGTATGTATGTGTCTGTATGTGTGTGTGTCTCTGTATGTATTTGTCTGTATGTGTGTGTGTCTGTATGTGCGTATGTGTCTGTATGTGTTTTCCTATATGTGTCTGTCTGTATATGTGTGTCTGTATGTGTGTGTCACTGTATGTATGTGTCTTTGTATGTATGTGTCTGTATCATACAGACACATACATACAGACACACACACACATACAGACACACACATACAGACACACATATACAGACACATACATACAGAGAAACACACATACACATTCATACAGACACACACACATACAGTCACATACATACAGACTGTGTGTGTGTCTGTATGTGTGTGTGTCTGTATGTATGTGTCTGTATGTGTGTGTGTGTATGTCTCTGTATGTATGTGTCTGTGTGTATGTATGTGTCTGGGTGTGTTTTTGTGTCTGGGTGTATGTCTGTCGGGGATGTGTGTGTGTATGTGTGTATATATGTGGGGGCCCACGGATCAGTTTCGCACCCATGGATGGTGTGTACGCCACTGATGGATGATGGGCCTGATGGCCAAATAAATGACTTCCCACAGGGACAGTCTGAAGAAAATATGACCTCTGAGGAGTTTCAGGCCCTGCTAGACTCCACTATGGCTTCATCTATTCAGAGAGCCTTTGCCTCTGCCATCTGAGCGGTGTTGTCATCGCTATCTCAGACCGTGACACAGGCCCTTTTGCTGCCCTCGGCGGCTGCCCCTACCCTTCTGGGTACTGGGCCCCCTTCTGTCCCTGTCACGCGTAAGGTGTTACCTGCCATAATGGAAGCGCTTGAGAAGGTCACAGATTGCGCGCTCTCAATGCGCAAAAGTGCCCCTGGCTGGGCTAAAAAGGCCAGGTTGGGGAAACGGGCTAAGTCCCTTGAGGAGAGGTCGAATACCGATCGGAGTGTGGAGGTTGACTTTAAGGATATGGAGTATGCCTCTTATGACAAGGCTGATACTGAGGAAGACGTTTCCCCTGCCGTAGCGACCCTTTCTGGGGCTGCTGCTACCGCCCAGAGTAGTTTTGCTAGGTGAGGGCACAGCTCTTTTGGAGCCTCAGGGTAAACCCCTGTGTCACCCCTGGTCGGCTGAGTGGAAACCCCCTGGCCATATTGCCCAATATATAGCGCATCATATGTGCAACCCCCTCTCTAAGGAGGGGAACAGTAAATTGCACACTGAATGCCCCAGACCTTCGGTCCCTGGCTATGCCAGTAATACCCCTGAGGTGGATCCGCAAATTGCCCAATTCCTGAACAAGTCTGGTTGGAAGCCCAAGAAGGGTCTTGATTTCTCTCTAAAGAGCTGTCAAGATAAGATTATAGACACGTTGGGGCCCTTGTCTAAAATATATGAGTTGATTGGCTGCGCGAAGGCGGGTAAATCAGAATTAGACCTGGACGTAGCCATCGCTTGGGATCAGCGGATATCTGCCTTCTTGGCAATGCCAATACGGCTATGTCAGCCGACCACCGGAAGGCAATCTTCTGAAAGATTGATCCGAAATTGGCAAATACAGCTTTATCTGAACATATCAGCTGACGGTATGCTGTTTAGGGGCAATTTTGTCAAGGACCTAGGGTCCTATGTGAAGACGTTCACAGCGATTGATAAGACCCAAGCGAACATGAAGAGAGTATTTTCTCCAAAGGTTTTTGGAGGAGCTGGGCGTAGTTGGAGTCGTCCAACTGGCCGTGGTTTCCAGGGCTCATTCTGAGCCACTCGAGGCTCCTTCTTCCATACACGGGGATTCCACGACGCCAAAGCTCCTAACTTCTTCCCATCCAGAGGGAGACCATGGAACTCTCACTATCCTCAGGGTGCCTCATCAGGCAGATGACCTTATGGTGAGTAACCGTTTTTCCCATCATTCCCATGAGCAGGTGTTGGGCAGTTTGGCCCAGTTTTATTGTGGGTGGGCTGCCATGGCATCAGACACTTGGGTTCTCCAAACTGTATGAGGTTATCACCTTGATTTCCTGTCTATGTCTGTTCATTATTGTGTCCCCAGGGAACTCAGCCTGTTGACAGAACTGGAGTCGCTAATCACCTTGGAGATCCGAAAGCTGCTCGCAAAAGGTGTGATCCAAAAGTTGCCATATGCCTACCCGAACTTCAGGAGCAACCTTTTCCTGGTGCCAAAAAGGGGGGAGGGGTTTGCCCTGTGATAAACCTCCATCCTCACAATGCTTTCCTCACTTACTTGATCTATAGGCTGTCTCTTCCCCTCATCCCTCACTTACCTGATCTATAGGCTTTCTCTCCCCTCCCCCTCTCTCAGTTCCCTGATCTATAGGCTGCCCCCCATGCCTCACTTCCCTGATTTATAGGCTGCCCCCCATGCCTCACTTCCCTGATCTACAGGCTGCCCCCCATGCCTCACTTCCTGATCTACAGGCTGGCCCCCATGAATCACTGATCTATAGGCTGCCGCTCACTCTGATAGGCTGCATGCCCCACTTTCTGATCTATAGGCTGCCCCCCATGCCTCACTTCCCTGATCTACAGGCTGCCCCCCATGCCTCACTTCCCTGATCTACAGGCTGGCCCCCATGAATCACTTCCCTGATCTATAGGCTGCCGGCTCACTTCCCTGATTTATAGGCTGCCTCCCTTGTCTCACTTCCCTGATCTATAGACTGCCCCCATGCCTCACTTCCCTGATCTATAGGCTGCCCCATGCCTCACTTCCCTGATCTATAGGCTGCCCCTCATGCCTCACTTCCCTGATCTATAGGTTGTCCCCCACATGCCTCACTTCCCTTATCTGTAGGTTGCCTCCCCATTCCTCACTTACCTGATCTGTAGGCTGCCTCCATCCCTTATTTACCTGATCTATAGGCTCCCCCCCCATCTCTCACTTACCTGATCTGTAGGCTGTCAATGCAGTCTGGAAGTTGCTGGCTGCATGTGCTGCTCCCCTGCGGATTCAGTCAGGAGAGAGAAACATTGATAAGATGTAGCTTCCTATCCCTGTCTCTCTCCATACATGCCGGTATTGCACTGTATTTTCAATCTCGCACTAAAAATAGCAGAACAAGCTGAAAAATCAAGGGGGGGCAAGTGTCCCCCCTCTCCCCCACCCTGCGGACGTCCATGGGTGTCGGACTGGTTGGCCAAACTGGATTTATGGGACGCGTATTTCACAGTTCCCATCACCATGGATGATGGGAATTTTCTCAACTTTACCTGGTGAGGGAGACATTGGAGGTTCACATGTCTGCCGTTCGGTCTCTCTTCGGCCCTTTGGTGCTTCACCAAGGTCATAAAACCAGTAGTATCCTTCCTCCGCACATGGGGTGTTCATTTGATTATCTATCTGGATGACATCCTGATCATGTCCCAGTCACAGGATCAGCTTCAGTTGCATGTGACTTGGATGACCAATTTGCTTCAGAACTTGGGTTTCCTGATAAATTGGGAAAAGTCGGTGCTGATCCCCGCACAGTCCATGGAATTCTTGGGTTTCAAGGTGGACTCTATCCAGCAGCTCTCCCGGGTATTCCGCAGGCAACTCTACACCTCCTCGACAACACCTGGGCTCTGGGTACTGGATCTGCCTATCACTCTTCATGGTGACTGTGGTCTGGTTGTTGCATAGGACATGCACTGGACCACGTATCTATCCCTTTGCATATGATTTTGGAGTTTCTCACTAGCATGTTTGAGTCGGGGAAAGCATATTGCACCATCAATTTGTTCCTCTCTGCGATCTTGGTGGGACATCGGGACATAAATGGGTCACCCATCGGGAGACATCCTTGTGTGTGTCGTCTCCTCAGGGGGATTCGCCTTGCTCGACCACCTAAGGCTAGGTTCTATGCCTTCTGGGCGTCAAAGTGGTGTTACAGTTCTTGACGTATTGGTATCCAAATCAGGATTTGACGCTTAAGCAACTGTCCGCTAAGTTGGTGATGTTGTACTGCTTGAATTCCTGCAAGTGAGTGTCAGACATCAGAGCACTGGATTGGGATACAGTTACATTTACTCCAGAGGGTATCTCCTTTAATATCTCAAGAAGGACAAAGTCAGCCTCTAAATCATTTGTTTAACCTTGATTCCAAGGAGTTCCGGTGCTCTGCCCGGTGGACTGTCTGGAGGTATACCTGGATTCTACATGATCTCTTCGTGCGTCAGACTTACACCCTTTGTCCGTTTCCTTCCAGACCCCTCTTCTGCCGGTGTCTACTCCTACGTTGGCTTATTGGAATCATTGACTTTTGTCCTTGGCAGGCATTGACACATCGGTTTTTACACCTCATTCGGAACGTGGAGCCATTGCATCAAAGGCTTCAGTGGTTGGATGCCATCTTGAGGATATTCTGCAGGCTGCGGATTGGTCGTGGGAATCGACCTTCCGTGATTTCTACTTCAGATCGATTGAGCACATTGCATCTCAGGTGGCAGCTCAGCTTTAAACTTGCATAATACTCACCTCTGTGTCTTTAAATTCCCAGGTTTTACCATTAACATGACATAAAGTTATGATTTTATCGAAGACACAGAGGCGAGTGTTATTCCCACCGGCCCTCCCGGTTATGGGGGTGTTTGGTGAGACAAAATTTGGATGTTTGTAAGTGTTCAGTTTGGATTTGTTTCCCTTGTAGATGTCTTGTCTGTTTATTGGTATGACATATGATATGATATTTAGTTATTAATTGTGAATTCTGTTTTTCTAGGTATAAATTCCTGCTCTGGTATTAACAGAATTGTTTTTGTGAGTATTCCGGTTTGGAGTTTAGAGATTACCATATTTTTCTTTCTCTCCTTTAGCCTGAAGTTTTCGATCCGTTCTGGTTTCCTCTTGGTTCCGGTGGTTGAGTTCGGTTCATGGTTATTGGTCTTCGGTTTTCGCAAGAAAGAGGAAGATTGAGGGAGACGCAAGCCTTTTATAGTCACTTCCTCTATTATGTGATTGGTTGCTTGGGTTACTATACAGTTTTTTCTCATTTTGATATATATTTACATTCCACTCTATCTTTGCTGCTGAGGAAATAAAAGAAAGAGTTATGCATAAAATTCCCTCTGTGTCTTTACGTCATGTTAATAGTAAAATCTTGGAATTTGTGACTGTTTAAAACTGAGCATAGTGACTGCAGAGACTAAACCTCAGAGACAGACTGATTTTTTTGCATGTGTTTGTGGTTTTCTAAATAATTTACTTATCTTTTAAGTAGGAGATTTAATTGTGTGTATTATTAAATAAATTAAGTGAAGAT